GTGTTCCAAGATTCATTGTTTATATACCACACCCAGTGCTCCATGCAATACGTGCCCTCCTTAATACCCACCAGCCTCACTCATCGCCCCCACCCCCTTCCTTCCAAAACCCTCAGTTTGTTTCTCAGAGTCTATAGTCTCTCATGCTTTGTCTCCCCCTCCAATTTCCCCAATTCACTCTTCCTTTCCTTCTCCTAATGTCCTCCATGTGTCTTTTCATTTTCTTAACAATATATTTTGAAGAGCAAACATTTTAGTTTTGATAAAAATCTGATGTATTCATTTGTTCTATTATGCTTTTGGTGTCTTGGCCCAGCTCAAGGTCACAAAAGATTTTTTTCCTTCATCTGGAAGTGTTATAGTTTTAGATTTACCCTTAGGTCTAGGATCCATTTTGAGTTAATTTTCATATATGGTACAAGGTATGGACCCAAAGTTACTTTGGGCAGGGGGAAAGTGGAAGCATGTGGCCTTCCTCTTCTAGCACCACTTGTTGAAAAGGCTATCCTTTCTCCATTGTAAACAACAACAAAACCAAAAAACTTAAATGTCTATCTGTGGGCTTATTTCTGGACTTGGTTCTGTTCTAATGATCTATTTTTCTATCCTGACACCAATACCCATGCTATTTTTATGTAGTGTACATAACTTATAATAATTCCTCAAATAGTGCTAATGGTCCAAATTTCTTCTTTTTCATGTTTGTCTTAGCTATGCAGTCTATTGCTTTTCATATGAAACTTAGGATCAGCTTGTCAATTTCTACCAAAATCAAACCTAGTATTGTAATTGAGACTGCACTGGATCTGCATTATCAATCTGGGGAGAACTGACATCTTAACAGTATTGACGATATTCTGGCCCATAAACAAAGTTCATCTTCCCATTTATTTCTGTCTTCCATCTCTCTCAGCAATATTTTGTAGTTTACAGTGTACAGATCTATGAAATCTTCTGTTAGTATTTCATACTTACAGTAGCTTTGGTGCTATTGTAAGTATTTTCAAATTTCAAATTCTAATTCTTTGTTGCTAATAAATAGAAATAAGACTGATACTGAATTTACATCCTATAGCCTTGCTAAACTCACTTAATAGTTCTAATAGCTTTTTAAAAAATTTCATCAAGTTTTCTACATCTAGGGATGCCTGGGTGGCTCAGTCAGTTAAGTGTCTGCACTCAGCTCAGGTCATGGTCCCAGGGTCCTGGAATCAGGTCCTGCACTGGGGCCCTCCCCGCCAAGCAGTGAGCCTGCGTCTCCCTCCCTCTCTGCCCCTCTTCCTGCTTGTGCTCACTCGTTCTCATAAATAAAATCTTTTACAAAAGTTTTGGGGGCACCTATGTGGCTCAGTTGGTTAAATGTCTGCCCTGGGATCAGGTCAGGATCTCAGAGTCCTGGGATCCAGCCCCACCCCAGGGCTCTCTGCTCAGGGAGGGGTCTGCTTCTCCTCTTCCTCGGTGCTCTCCTTCCCTCTCCTGCTCTCTCTCAAATAAATAAATCTTTTTTTTTTTTTTTAATTTTCTACATCTGTGGTCATGTTTTTGGTAAATAAAGAGTTTTACTCCTTCCTTTCTAACCTGGATGCCTTGTCTTTTTCTTGCCTGATTGCACTGGTTAGAACCTCCAGGAGAGTACTAGAAAAAAATGGTCAGAAGTCCGTATCTTGTGTCTGATCTTAGGAGGAAAGCATTCCATCTTTTATATTAATTATGACTTTTGCTGAGCTTTTTGTAGATGCCCATCATCGGATTAAGGAAACCCCCTTCTATTCTTATTTCCCTGTGAGTTCCTATCAGGAACAGATGTTGGATTTTGTCCTAGCCCCTTTATTCATCTATTGAGATGATCATATATATTTTTTTTGTCTTTTAATTTGTTAGTATGGTGAATTTCAGTGGCTGATTGATTTTCCAATGTTAAACCAATTGAGCATTCCTAGCATAAACCCCAATTGATCATGAAGTTCTAATACTTTTTGTTGGATTTGATTTGCTAAAATATTGTTGAGAATTTTTGCATGTGTTCAATGAGGTATATTGGTTTGTAGTGTTCTTATCATGTTGAAAGATCATGTAACCCTGTCATAGAATGAGTTGGGAAATACTACCTCTTCAATTTTTTGGAAGAGTTTGTATAGACTTCGTGTTTGTTCCTTCTTAAATGTTCAGTAGGATTCATGTTTCAAGTATCTGGGCCTGGGCGCCTGGGTGGCTCAGTTGGTTAAGTGCATTTGGCTCAGGTCATGATCCTGGAGTCCCAGGATCCAGTCCTGCATTGGGCTCCCTGCTTGGCAGGGAATCTGCTTCTACCTCTAGCCCTCCCTCTTCTCGTGCTCTCTCGCTCTCAAATAAAATCTTAAGAAAAAAAAAAAAAAACCTGGGCCTGGAGTTTCTTTGTGGGAAGGTTCAACTTCTTTTATATCCAGTATGAGCTTTGGTATTTTTTGTCCTCTGCATTTTGTCTTAAGTTGCTGAAGTTATTGGCATAGGGTTGTTCATAATAATGGTTTATGGGTTTTTTTTTTTTTTTTTTTTTTTTGACATCTGCAGTGATGTCACCTCTCTGATTCCTGATATTGGTAAATTTTTGCTTCTTTATCCTGATCATTCTGGCTAAATGTTTATCAACTTCATCAATATTATCAAAGAACCAACCTTTGGTTTCATTGGCTTTTTTTTTTTTCCCCGTTTTCTGTTGCAGGAGTCAACAAACTTTCTGTGTTTTAGACTTTGTGGGCCACGCAGTTTCTAATGCTGAGCACAAAAGCAGCATTGACAGTACAGAAGTGAATGCATGTGGCTGCGCCAATCAAACTATTTACAAAAACAGGCTCCAGGGCTAGGCTTAGCTCCTAGCATGAGGTTTCCTATTCTATTCCTTGACTTCTACTGTGATTTCCTTTCTTCTGCTTACTTTGAGTTTCATTTGCTCTTCTTTTTCTAGTTATTTAAGGTGGAAGCTCAGGTCATTGATTTGAGACCTTTTTTCTAATACAAGAATTTAGTGCCATGAATCTTCCCCTAAGTAATGCTTTAGCTCCACCCCACAAATTTGGTTTATTTGTTTTCATTTTCAAAATATTTTCTAAGTTTTCCTCTGATTTCTTACTCGGTGCATGGATTATTTAACAATTATTGTTCCCAAATATTTGGGGATTTCCCAGATAATTATTCTGGTCTTGATTTCTAATTTAATTCCTTTTTGGTCAAAGAATATAGTTTGTATGACTTAAATCCTTTTGATTTTTTTTTTTTTTTTTGTGTGGCTTTTTTCCAGGCCCAGAATATGGTCTATCTTGGTAAATGTTCCAGTGTACTTCAACTGTTGTTGGGTTCTATAAATGTCAGTTGTTTGATAGTATTGTTCAGGACTACTAGATCCAATCTCCTTGTTTTTTTTGTTTGTTTGTTTTAAGATTTTATTTATTTATTTGACAGACAGAGATCACAATTAGGCAGAGAGGCAGGCAGAGAGAGAGAGGAAGGGAAGCAGGCTCCCTGCTGAGCAGAGAGCTCAATGTGGGGCTCGATACTAGGACCCTGGGACCATAACCTGAGCCGAAGGCAGAGGCTTTAACCTACTGAGCCACCCAGGCGCCCCTCCAATCTCCTTGTTACTCTAGTCCCAGCCAGAAGCCCACAGTGAGTGAAGAAGTGTGCCCTTTGATGAGTTTTGACAAACGTACACAAATGTATATAGCCATGTAACCTAAACTTTGAGAGTTTTTAATAACTAGTAGAACTAGCTCCCATTCATTGCTCTTCTTTTTCCAGTTTTCCCTATTATTCGCTTGTCAAGCTGTACATGTAAACTTTAGAACTGTCCGATTCAGGGACAAGGGGTCAACTGGGGCAGGGAATGCCCACTTGCATTTTTACTGGGGCTATATTACATTAATCAGTTAATGGAGAAGAACCAAATTTATGTTGTTGAGTCTTCCTATCCAATAACTGATCTATCCATCTATTCCAGTCTTTTTTTTTTTTTTAAAGATTTTATTTATTTATTTGACAGAGATCACAAGTAGACGGAGAGGCAGGCAGAGAGAGAGAGAGAGAGAGAGAAGCAGGCACCCCGCTGAATAGAGAGCCCGATGCGGGACTCGATCCCAGGACCCTGAGATCATGACCTGAGCCGAAGGCAGCGGCTTAATCCACTGAGCCACCCAGGTGCCCCTATTCCAGTCTTTTTTTTTTTTAGTAGGCTCCATGTCCAACATGGAGCTTGAACTCACAACCCCTAGATCAAAAGTCATATGCTTTACTGACTGAGCCAAACAGGAGCTCCTATTCCAGTCTTTTGTGTCTTCCACAGGGCTTTAAGGTTCTTCTTATGCACAGATAGTAAACGTACAGACAGAAGGGGATGAAGTATAGCAGATTCAGGGTAGTGGCTGCCTCCAGGAAGGGGAAGGAGATTGAGAGCAACAAAGCAGGATCTACAACTCTATCTATAATGTAACAGAAGGATTTTAATACCTTTTTAAAAAATGTTAATACATCTAATTGATGGGTATAGGAGTGTTTCTTACAAAACTATTTTTCTATTTGTTTGAAATATTTAATAAAAAAAGTTAGACTTAGGGGCACTTGGGTGGCTCAGTCAGTTAAGCATCTGCCTTCAGCTCAGGTCATGGTTCCAGGGTCCTGGGATTGAGCCCCATGTCAGGCTTCCTGCTCAGTGAGGAGCCTGCTTCTCCCTCTCCCTCTGCTGCTCCCCCTGCTTATGCTCTCTCACTCTCTCATTGTCAAATAAATAAAATCTTAAAAAAAAGTTAAACCTAGAAGTTAAAACAATTTTTTTTTTAAAGATTTTATTTATTTATTTGACAGAGATCACAAGTAGACAGAGAGGCAGGCAGAGAGAGAGAGAGAGAGAGAGAGGGAAGCAGGCTCCCTGCTGAGCAGAGAGCCCGATGCGGGACTCGATCCCAGGACCCTGAGATCATGACCTGAGCCGAAGGCAGCGGCTTAACCCACTGAGCCACCCAGGCGCCCCAAAACAATTTTAATAGAAAAGAGTTTTTGTAAATACAGTGACTCTTCATAGTACTTTTCATAGTTTGTTCTCATAAACCAAATGACCATAACTTACATATATTTTGGATATAAAACTATAGTTTTTCTTCTTTACATATATAATACAATTTCCAGTGTGATGACATTTCATTGAGGACAAGATTGCATTCACAGTAAATACTATCATCCCTGAGTCCACAGACATAAAATAGGCACTCCCCAAACATCTTCCTGTGGTGGTGAAGGGTGGACAGTCACATTGAGTAGTCCTTCTAGAATGTCTGTATAGACCCAAATCAAGAATGCTAATGATCTAAGCCCAAAGCAGTAACAGTGAAAGGGTGAAAGTGTCCAGAGCACTTATTTTTCATTTTACTCTCTGCAGCCAAGGTCAAAAGTACAACGCTGAAATTGATTTTACCATTTTCTTTTAGTCTTTCTTCGCTGAAAGCTAGCATGATCTGTTTCACCCACTGGTAGCAAAACTGGGAATTTTACCTACAGAAATTACCCAGGACCACTAATAAAAACGTAGTTTTTTCCAGCATGTCTATTTTCTGAGCATCTGGCACAACAGACATTTTTAAATGTGTGTGAGATGAACAATGAAAGAATTAGAAACCTGCTATGCCCGGTGCACAGCCAATGAACCATAGAAAGTTATGGCACTATGGTGGCTTAATTTTAAAAGATGTTCTTTCAAAATGAATTCCAGGAAAACAAACAGCCTTCACACAGAGAGAGAAGCTGAAGCGATCTTACTGATGAGTCTGTTGAGAGCTCTAACTTTTTCTTCCAAGATGTGGTTTTTCTTCTGAGCACCTTGTAGCTTCTCTTCGGTGACCTGAAGTGCCTTCATCAGGTGAGCATTTTCCACATAGAGCTCCTTGAGCAGCAAATCAGACTTTGTGTTCTTTTCGAACTAGAGAGGAAAGAGAACCATACTTTTCTGTGACTCTCATGCAGAAACGCTACATCACAGCTTGGCCTTCCCCCCCACCACATGTTTAGACCACAGATTAGGGGCTCTTATGCATTTGAGACAAACATTGAGTGGAATGACAATTTTTGTTACCTTGGAGTGAAAGAGGAAATTGAGAATCTGATGAATTATGTGATAGAGAAAATTGAAGTCAATTTTTTGATAGTAGATTTTACCATGAAATGAAGATGTAAAAAGACCACAATCACCAAACTCAAAAAGGACAATCCAGCATAACATAAAACATGTCATTCTGGTTCATCTCAGTGTGCTCGCAGACTCACCACGTTACCCAGGGCGTACCCCAGCACTGCGTCCACCCTCAAAGCCCTGGGTGTGTAGGCTGGTCACCATACACCATAGCCACAGCAATGGTGACCCAAGGCTACTCTAGTTATAAAGGCTCATGTGGCCTGGCCTTGGGCTTTGGAAGTCAAAACTGCATTCATTCATTCAACAAGTAGTGCCAGTGCCTCGCAACAGCCCTGCTCTCAGGAGCACATATTCTGAGGGAAGCAGACAGACCAGAAACAAATATGTGGTGCAGAGGCACGTCAAGTGCTAAGGAAAAGCTGTGTAATGAAACCTGTCTGCCTGCCTGAAATGCAGCAAAGATAAACAGAGCATAGAGTGCATGGCAAGGAAAAGAGAGAGAGCCAAACAAGGAGGAGGAGACAGAGACAGGAGGGCAATACTGAAACCTGTTTCCCCCAAGGAAAAGAGAGATGTTTACAGGCAAAAAAATAAATAAATAAATAAAGGTCTGGGTGAAAAGTTACAGTTGTACTTAATAGTCCTAGTTAACACTCTGGTTACTGGTTTCACTGGGAGGGGACAGACAACTGAGGAGGGAGTTCCTACGTTTGTTGGGGTGAACAGGGAAGGCTTCTCTGTTGGTGTGAACAGAGATCTGAATAAGGCAGGGAAAGGAGCATTGAGGCTGTCCGGGTGTGAACATTCCAGGCAAAGGGAGGAGCAGGTGCAAAGGCCCAGAGGCTGGCCAGGCTAGGGGGTTAGTAGGGATGGCCAGAGGCCTGTAGCTGGGGGGCAGGGCAGTAGGAGGCTCACTGAGAGGAGGTTAGAGCTGCCACACTGACTAGGCAGGCACTGAGAGGAGGGGACTAGATCCCACAGAGCCTTGGAGGCCCCATAGGAATTCTGCCTTGTACTCTGAGGAGGGGGCCAGCACCTTATCACACTGGGAAAGCATTGCTGCCACTCCTGCGCCAAGAATAGAGCACAAGAGGACACAAGGACATTGTAGGGCTCAGAGGATGAAGGTGGGAGTGGTGGCTGGTGAGGCAAGAAGAGGCTGGATTCTGTATCCCTTCCAAAGGCTGAACTGACAGGCTCACTGGGGACACAACCCCCAGACTTGGGACCTGAGCCAGCGGTGTGGGGGAACAAAAGGGGGAATAGGTGAGAGTGTGCAGACAATCCTTTGCAGGTTCTTCAGTAAAGAGGAGCAGAGGCAGGGCCAAGGCTCCCTAAGCTTTGGGTTGGGGGGGCAGTGCAGGCCCCTGAGAAGGGAAGGGCTGGGCACTGTGGCACATGCACAGACACAGGTGGCTGGTTCGCGGGGCCAGAGCACAGGCTAGTTCTGGGCGGGGGTCGGGGGGCGGTGCAGGGCTGCAGATGGGACCTCACAGGGGCAGAGATGCAGGAGCAACAGGATTTCACCAGGATTGAGGATTTGCCAGATCAGAGGAAGCAAACTGAGCGTGCCTGCAAGAGAATGACTGTCAGGTGAGGGGTGCGGGTCACTGAGAGTCTGTGACACTTGGCCAGGGACACAGCTAGGGAGTCAGAGGATGGCAGAGAGGAAGCTGCAAAGCCAGGAAGATGGTCAAGGAGGGGGATGTGACCCCCTGGGACTTTCTACCTCCCAGGGAACAAGAGGTGACACAAATGTTTCATCCTGTTTGGGCTTAGTTCAGGAGCTCTCTAAACATACTTGATTACTGTAATAAAAATATTTCTACAGATTCTCACAATTTCTTCCAGCTCTGAATAGAACTCTTCTAAGAGTAGCTGGTGTTTGGTTAAGACTTTTCCCTGTGTCTCCTGTTTCTAGCACCCTCTGTGCTGGCTGCTTGGCTGCCAGTTCTTACCTTGCCCGCTGAATTGGACTGTAAAGCTTTCATCGAACACAACAGCTCTGGCCTTCTTTTTTTGGTCTTTGCTCCCTATAGCAACCCAAATTTTTCCTTTCTCCCCCAGAGTGATCTATTTAAAAATATATAGTTCATATCATACTCTTGCTTAAAATCTTCTGATGGCTTCAGACTGCAACTAAAATAAAAGCAAACTCCTGACCTTGAGGGAGTCCTGCCTACCCATCAGCTACAACAACCTCCTTGATGGCCTGCTGACATACTATGCTTGGTTCCATCTAAGGACATTTGCCTACACTGCACCTCTGCCTGGATGCCCTCCTCGTCGGGGTTCTGGCATGTCCCCCAGCACACATGGAGACATGTGGGTGCATTTTTATGGCTGTCCCACTGACTGGAGGTGCTACAGGCAGTCAGCCCTACACTGCATGGGAAAGTCCCGCCCAATGAGCACTTATCCCTTCCAAAAAGCCAACCTGGCCTCAGCTTGGGGGGCACAGGCAGACCCTCCATGCTGTCACTGGGTCTCTGCTCCTACCACGTCTGAAAAGACTGGTTCCCAACCATCCCCACCACTTCCCATCCACCACCATCTCTTCTTCAGAGCGAGCATTTCTCACAACCTGAGGTCATTTCTCTTATTATTGTCTGTCTCTACCTCCAGAATGTAAGGCCCATGAGGGCCCATCTCAGGGTCTTCTCAGAACAATAAATGCTGGGATACATGACAGGTGCTTGGTGAATATCTGGCCAATGACTGAACAAATGAACAAATGAATGTCCTTTCTGAGATTATGTAAACACCCCTCAAACGTACCTTAAAACAATTCTCAAAACAATGTACAAATATAATTTATAAATATATATTTAACAAAATCAGTTTTTCTATTGATTGCTTTTAACTGTTCATCTTCTGAAAAAATCTGTATGTTCAGATTCTTAAAGTTTAGATGGAGTCCCAGGTTCAGTGGTTCTAAACAAACTTGGGGCTCTCTCTGCATTCTATGAGGATGGTCTCACCCTGGAACAGCTACTTAAATACACATAGAAGGAAAAAGTGCAGAAAGTACATGTGGTAATAACAGATGCCCATCACTGACCTGCTCTTTCAGCTCAGCCACTTTTTCTTGTAGGAGCATTTCCACATTCTTCAGAACCATTCCCATCTCTTCTACCTGCTCTTCCGTGTCTTTAAGCTCTTTTTCATGTTCTTCCTGCCATAAAAGATTACACACCAACAGTTTACATTTCAAAAAGAATCATATCAGGCTTAGTTACTTTAGAATGGAAATTAGCTAAAACCTACAAATCTGGGAGTGGCTGGAGATAACCTTTCATCTGCACAGAGAAACGTTTGTGAATGTTCTGCCACGAGCCAAGAGCTGACACCACTCTTTGTAGTTCACAGAGAATTAGTGGACTGCTTTCCTAAGAATTTATCATAAATGACTCCAATGTATTTCCCCAAACGTGTTACTGAGTAATTATAAACGACTTCTGATTAAACTTCTTTGCTTTGTCAATATTCTATCATGGCTGAGCTTATCTTCTGCTTAACATTTTTGTACATGGTTGGAAGGCTGGAAGATTATTCTTCTACAGAATTTATGCTTCACAAACATCAACTCTTACCCACCTTTAGAGTCTTGCTCCAATTTCTTCCTCATGGAGATCCCCCCACCCCTGATCTCAGGCTCCTACCTGCACACTGCCTATCCCCACCCTCCAGTGTTTGCTCATGAATATTTCAGGAGGGAGTTTTTTCAGCCTTTTAAACACTGACTCAGAGTGCACACAGGGCAAACTATTCAAGCATGTCAGACATGCCAACTTGAGGATGCCGCACAGTAATGCTCTGAGGTGGGGACCTACTGGCATCCGTCGTTTACAGACAAAGAAACTGAAGCAAAGACAGGGTAAGTAGCTGCCCAAGCTCACTCAGCTGGGAGGTGGCGGAGCCTGGATCCTGACCTCTGCAGCCAGTGTCCTGCTCCCCTTTAAGGGAGCGGCTCTGTTTCTATCAAGGTCTCTAGATGCCTAGTGTGGTGCCTGGTACACAGCCAGGGTCCCCAGATGTGTGTCACTCCTCATTGGCCTCCCATCCCACCACCCTCCTCCTGCTTCCCTCTCATCCTCCTTAAATATGCCAAGTACACACCCACCTCAGGGCCTTGGCACATGTGGCTCCTGCTACCTCTCAAGCACTCTTCCACAGTAAGTGGAAGGCTTGCTCCCTCAACATCTTCAGGTCTTGTCTCATATAGTAACACGTTAGGAACACCTTCTCCAGCCCGCTGTTTAAAACTGCAAAGCGTCCCACTCCATAGCACTCATCAGTTCACCACCATCTGACATGCTGTCCTCATGACTCGTGTTCTCGTTTGTCTCCACCCCACCTCACTAAGGCTCCAGGAGAGCACAGGCTTTTGCTGTGTGTGCTCATTTCTGTACCTCTGACAGCTAAATCCACATGCATCCAGTATGTAACTTCTACAGTCCTTGTGTGCCTGTGGGTAGCTTTTTTCATTCAGCAAAATGGTTTAAGATTTTTTTTTAATCAGATGCATCATTTGGAAATTGGATGTGTTCGTGTAAAAATCTAGTTTCTGGCTTTCCTTTGAAATCAGGAGAACTCCCACAGGGCTCCACGGGTGGGACTGTTGCCCTCAGCTTCACTCATGCATCTGCATCACCACGTTTTTGGCCCCGTCCACAGCTTGAGTGTGTGGTCATGTGGCCTATCACAGACGTGTGCAGCCCCCATGCAGGAGGGACCTTTTGGGTCAGCAGGCTCATCACTCCCTGAGTGGGTGTGTGCCGCCCCTCTCTGGTCCATCTCTGGTGGACAAGAAAGTCCCACATTGTTCAGAGTGAAAAATTGGATCCTGTGGCTGCCGTACAAGCAGACCTCTAGGAGCTGGGATGGCAGTTTTCAGCCAAGTGACCAGTGATCCAACCTCACCACCGCCATCACCATCAGCAAGGCCTTGGGGCCCTTGTCCCCACTCACCCATTGTGTCTCCAGCTGCCTCCCCTTTTCCTGCTGGAGAAGGCACTCCTCGCGGAACCGCCCAGCCATCTGCCGTTCCTCTTCTAGCAGCTGCTGCAGCTCAGCCACATGGTCCCGAGGCACCAGCCCCTGCATCTGCTCCTGCAGCTGATGAACCTCCTCGGAGTGTTGGGACCGGGCCAACCTCAACCCCAGGTTGGCTCTGTGTAGCTGCCATGGGATAAAGCCAAGACAGGGCTGGTGTGACTGCTGAGCACTACGGGGCCATTACCAGACACACAAGACTCCGAGGTTACAGAGAGCCTACAACTTGGGCACACAAGGCATCTAGCCTCCTTGGTCCCTGCATCTGCAACTAAATGCAGGGTTTACAAAGAACCCCCTCGTTTGAATTCTGACAGCCAAACTCCGGTTTGGCTCGAGCTTCCGCACAGAGACAATCTGGAAGACTCAGGTCTGTATTCTCAAATTGGTGATAGTTAGCTTCCCACTGTACCCAAAGGAGAATTGTGCTATATTCTGTCCAGTTTAACCTTCAGCAGACTTCAGAGAGTCCATGTAACTACTGAAACCCACGGAGAGCTCACGCTCCTGAGACAGCCGAGGCCAAGGCCACAGAGGGCAGCAGAACCCACACTGAAGCCTGAAAAGACCATCGAGCACAGAACCACCCTAGCACCCAGCTCCCAACCACAGAGGATGGCAAGATTTCACTGGAGTTGTGCAGGGCCATTATTATTGCACAGTGTGTAACGTGGCCAATCCTTTTATTAAACATCATTTAAATTACTCTGATTCTGGAGATTTCACCTAGAATACCCAGAATTTCCTTGGCACCCTAACTGGCCTTGTCAGCTCTCACACACTGGCAAGGCCCCACAGGTGGGAGAGGGAAGTGACTCTGTCAAGGGTCACACTCATAGCAAGTCTGAGGTGGGGTCAGAGAGATAGGGAGGGTGCCGGCTATGGCAACTCAAGGGCAAGAGTGAGGCTTCAGGCCACTGCATCTCCCTGCATCTCTGAGGGGCCGTATTGGGGGACCATGTCATCACTGTAATGTGTGGCTGTTCTTTTTTTTTTTTTTTTTTTTAAGATTTTATTCATTTATTTGACAGAGAGAGAAGATCACAAGTAGGCAGAGAGGCAGGCAGAGAAAGGAGGGGGGAAGCAGGCTCCCTGCTGAGCAGAGAGCCCGATGCGGGGCTCGATCCCAGGACCCTGAGATCATGACCTGAGCTGAAGGCAGAGGCTTAACCCACTGAGCCACCCAGGCGCCACATGTGTGGCTGTTCTTAGGACAGGGTCATCCTGGAGAAACACCCGCACCCCCCACACAAAGTTTCCAGAATAGCTATTTTTGGAGAGTGCAATATAATGATTTAAAGATCAGGTGACCAAAATACATTTCTCAGAGATACCTGGTCTCCATCCACAGATCCCGAAAATGCTTCAGAGGCATAGAGTTAAATAGGTGTCTTGTTATTAATGAAGATGATTTTTGGACCACACCTAGCAGCGGCGGCTGGCTGCCAGGAGGGCCAACCACAGGATTAAGGGTTGGAATGTTTAGTCCCACCCCCACCTCCCTGGAAGGAAAAGGGGCTGGAGGTTGAAACAGCCAATGGCCAATGAATGACTTGGTCAATCACAACTGTGTAATGAAGCCTCCAGAAAAACCCAGAAGGACAACCATATGATCTGTTTCTGGAGATCTTCCAGGCTTGGGGAATCAGAACACTTCCATGTGCCACCAGGCTGGGCTCCAGCTCCATGAGGACAGATGTTTGGGACCTTGACCTACCTATCTCTTCCTCTGGCTATAAGTTTGTTTCCTTATCATATCCTTCAATGAACTGGTAAGTGTTAAGTGTCTTCCCTGAGTTCTGTGAGCCACACTAGCAAATCAGTCAAACCTCGGGAGGAGGTAGTTGAAACCGCCAATCTATAGCTGGCTGGTCAGAAGCATAGGTTACAGCCTGGTCCTGGGGATGGCCTCCGAAGGGGCTGCGGGGGCAGTCTTGTAGAACTAAACTTCACCTGTGGGGTCTGATGCTGTCTCTGGGCAGAGAGTGTCATAACAGAATTGGATTCTTAGACACCCTGCGGGTCTATGAACTGCCTGTTGTGTCTGGGGAGCCCCCTACACAGTGGTGGAATTGGGTCTGGGAACCCTGAGAGAGAGGGACAGAGAGGGGAGAACCAGTTCGAAAACACACCCCTACAAATGTAGCCTCCTCCTGACTTTCATGCTCTAGACACTGATCTGGCCAGAAGCTGAGCCCCAGACCAGGCCCTGCTGACACCATATCAGAGTGCCCACCCATCCCAAAGGTGCTCCTGCTCTCTAACAGCACTCCCCAACACCCTGATTCCGCTCCTTCTTTAAACACTTTGCCCCCATGCCCCTCGCTGCCACCCACTGCGGCCACCCCTCCGCTCTGGACTCCAGTGCCAGGGACAAACTCCTGTGGGAAGGCCCCTTTCTGGCCCAGCGTGAGGTCTCTCTGTCTGTGGCCCTAGCCTGCAGCTGTCTGTGCAGGACGAGCAGCCCATAACACCTGCCACCCCATCCCCGCTGACTGCCTCCTGAGCCTCTCATCTCCTCCTGGTGGAAGTGAGGCTCTAGCTGGAGCCAGGGCCAGCTCTGGAAACCTCACCTCCACTAATACATAACAAGGGGAAGATGTCTCCAGAGAGCACTGGGGCCTCCCACAGCCAGAAAATGAGGGTTGTTGTGTTCTGGGAGCTGAGGCACAGCAGTGAGCTGCCTCAGCCATCAGCTCTGCCCCCCTGAGCTCATAGGCTGCTCTTCCTGCCCCTTGAGGGGATGGGGGCTCTGTTCTCTTTGTCTTGAGAGGTGAGGAATGTGTCCTCGCCCATGGAGAGGTGGGCTCTGTGCCCTCCCTCTGAATCCAAGTTGGACCAACAGGATATGGGGGGAGTAATGTTCTGGAATGCCATGGCACAGTCCTAAGGAGCCTGACAGCTCTGACTGCTCCTCTAAGGGCCCCTGGTCATCTCTCCTACCCAAGCTTCACTGCTGCTGTACTCAGAGAACCCCATGCCACCAAGAGGCTGGGTGTACTCGGCCCCCAGGCACCAGCCAAACCCACACACCAGCCCTGTGAGCCAAGGGCTTGCAAACAGCTGATCCAGCCATGCCTTCAGCGGATGCCTGTCCCAACCCCACTGGACTGCCGTGGCCCCCCTGACACAGAAAGTGACAACAGCCCAGGTGAGCCGGTGAGCCACAGACCGTGAAGGAGAATGGTGCACAGTGCTACAAGCTGCCAGGTTTGGGGGCGGCTTGATATGCTGCAAGTCAGAACCAAGCCAAGATGGGGATTCCCAGGGACATGTGCGTGCAGCATTCTGCTCCCCCACCCTCACTCTGAGCAGCACAAAGTCCCTTGGCCAGGCCCTTTAATGCCCTCCCCCGAGTTGCTCCCCTCCTTACACCTGTTCAAGCTGCCCTCTCTCCCTCTGGGCCCTCCGCCTCAGAACCACCCACACAAGGGTGCCAGTCCTGACACTGACTCCCTCCCGCGTGGCTCTGCACCCAACCTTACCGCGCGCGACTGTCACGAGACTCCTTACATACCCTGTAGGCTCCCCTTACTTCCCTCATGGGAACTTTCACTGATGTGGTTTTGGGGGTCCTCTTCTAGATCACAAAGAAGGGGAAACCAGCTCATATCACAGAAGGATTGCCTAAGTAAGTATCTTCTGCCTGTGACAATGGCTGATTCCTAGTCCCCAAGGGCTCAAACTGCTCAAGGCAACTTCTCAAGCTTCCTTTCAGACTTAAAGAAAGACAGAGAAGGGATCCTCTAAATGCTCAGAAGTACCTCTGGGGCACTGCTTGTTTGCAGGGGGAAAGCTGAGAGCCCACAAGCCCCCAAAACACATCATAAGGCCTGGGTGGCGGTGGGGGTCCCACAACCAAGTCCACCTATAGGGCCAGGAGCCAGTTGGGGAGCCCTAAAGAGGCTCAGTGAGGGAAGTACACAGGTGCCACACTCAAGGGAAGATAGTCCTGGGCCTCAGGCCAGTGGGTTAGAGACCCCTCCCACACCGTGCTGGAGAGGTTTCTCCCATGGCCCCTCTTTCCTTCCTACAGCCCCCAGCCCTCTAAGCGCACCCCACATCTAAGTCCACACGGGGTCCTCAGGGTACCTCCCGCAGTCACACACCTGCCATTCTCTCTCCTGCTCCCCCAGAAAGAACCAGCTCCCCCTCTCTTGTGTCCCTGGACCTCACACTGTCAGGGCACCCCAAGGCCCTTGCTTGGTCTGTCCTGCTCTCATTTACTTGTCCAAGACTACAAGCTCTCCACCTTCCTATCTCTGTACCTTGAGAACCTGGTGCGCTGGATAAATGCTATAGCAGGAGAGGAGGCAGGAGGCGGAAGCTTGACACCCACACTGTGTGCAATTTCAGGGCTTCTGTGCACAAAAAAAGCCTGTGTGAGTATTGGATGGGGCACCTAGCTTGCTAACCACTAGGACTGCTCCGCCCTATGTCCTTGGATCTGGTGCCAACTCCTCCACCTCAGAAGCTACCTGTCACTCTCCTTCGCTCTTCTGATTTGCAGATGGCACACCCAATAGAACAGCCTACTGGCCTCCTTCCCTTGTGCATAAACAGCTGTGCCCATGGATTGCTCAACTGAGCCTGGACAAAGCCCAATTCTGTCCTGGGACTGTAAGCACCCAGCCAGCTGTGTAACCTCAGTCCAGCCTAATGACCTCTCTGGGCCAGACCAGTCCTGGCCAGGCTCTGTCAGTGCTAAACCGTGTTGACTTTCTTCCAGCTGAGACCCAGCCACTGGCCATCATGCACACCCACCTGGTCTTGACTTTCTTCAAGAGTCTCTCTCAGCTGTGACTGTGACAGTCTCAGGCTCTGACATTCCTGATTCATGTGTTTGAGTTCAAGTTCAAGTTTTTGGATGTGCTCACCCTGTTTTTAAAAAATCAACTTCATAAATATAAGAAATATCTCAGCATTGATACATGTTTGATGCAGAAACTTCAGAAATATACAGAAAAACAAAGATTACAAAATTTAAATCACCCATCATCCCAGAAGCCTAAGGACCACACCTGACACTGCCGTGACTTCAGCCCTTCCTCCAAATGTGCGTTTCTAGCCATAAGACTAATATAGCATCGTGTATGCTACGCTTTCCTCAGTGTATCTTGGGCACTTCCCCATGACATGAAATATTATTTGAAACATAATTTTTAATGGCTGCACCAGAATTTACAGCCTCATTCAGTATTATTGATGATTCAAGCTGATTCCAATTGTTTTGCTATTAGAAATATCACAGCAATGAAAATACTTCCAGCTAAGTCTTTTCACGATGATCAAACTCCCATAAGCAGAATTATAAAGTCAGAGCATACCAATATTCTTGATGTATGTTTTTCCCAAATGTCCTCCTGAAAGGTCTACCAATTTACTCTCCTAGCATCAGGATTTAATCCCTTTCTGGTTTTTCTAGATATTGAGGATTTGCAAAAGCTGCTAAGTCAACAAATTTTCCAGGGCGCTTACTTACTAAGTCTCTCTCCTTACCTGAGGGGTGAGTCTACCTCCAGGCATTTTAAGGCTATTCCTGATGTTTTCAGATACTCACCTGCAGCTCCTCCCACTGCCCCACCTCCTCCAGTCTCTGTGTTAATAACTGAATGGTGATGCCGTTCTCATTCTGGGCCTGGTGGGGAGAGGCCACCTCTCCCGGCTGAAGGAACTTCTCATTGAGCTGCGACACTTCATCCCTACATTTCTGACTCTAAAGCAAAATGGGTTAAAATGCAGATGACAAAGTTATTTTTTTTTTTTAAACAGCAGCTCAATTCAGATCATTCCAGTGGCTCCTGGACCAGGAACGACTTTGTTCCCTGAGGAACATCTGGCCATGTCTGGAGACAAGGCTCGTTATCACGGCTGGGGAGGGGACGGCTCCGGCATGTCATGGGGGAGGCGCTCAGCACCCTCCAGTGCAGGACTGATCCAGCCCCATTTGGCCACAGGGCCATGGAGCAGAAAGCCTGCACCATGCCCTGGAGGCAGTGAAACACATCTGGATCATGAGAGGTGGTTACATCATGAGCACACAAACCATTGCTCTCAAGACCTTTCATATTTTTCGCATTTCTTTCATGGTTATTTCCAATTATTATTTTAAGCAATTTGACAGAAAACACCCAACTGAAGTGTATGAAGCTCCTCAGCGTCTCCTCTGATCTTTGTCATTAAACACATGAACACAGCTTTCAGCAGGGTGCAGGCAGTGATTAAATTGTGTATTCTGCTTTTGCTCAGGATCCCCTGGCCAGCAGCCAGTGGATGCACAACAGGCGCCCGCCAGGAGACAAGCAAGGGCATGATGCGAGCAAACAGCAGCTACAACACTGCCCCTATGACCACCCCCCACTGTGGAAATACCCATTACTTTCAACTATTTGTTGTGAGTGTCTTCATAGACACCGCACGACTGCTGATCTGCTTTTTCCCACAGCATCAGTTCTCGAGGCCATCAAGGCCAGTGCCTACAGCCCCAGATGTGGGAAGAGCAGCGTCCCTGGTACCGCTTTCCAGCGCTGCCGGCAAAGCACAGGCACCACTCCCCCGACGGCTGCGCCAGCAACCTCTTACTATTATGTGTCTGAGGATCTGAGGATCTGAGGAGCAGGGGAGGGAACCCTGAAGTTGTTGCAACTTGGGTCATTCATGCTTAGTGAGTCTACCCATTTTTCTAGTGACCACTGCTCCCTCTCTTCTCTGTACAGAGATTGTTGCCTCATCCTGTCCTTAAAATCTCAGAACTGAGGGCAAAGAGGTGTTTTCAACACATCATAAGCTCACGGCCATTATGTCTGGTATGGAACTCGGTTGTGTTTACTACATTTCATCGTGAAAATTGTTTTTCAGTATTGATACACATTCATCTTGTTCTGAGGACAGCCTTGATTTCATTAACAGCCAGAAATGGAATCTGCCTTCAGTTAATTTTCTTCTGCTTACCTTTAATATTTAGTCTTTGGAAATAATTTCAAATTTCTGCAACAGGGCCAGGGCTATGACAGAGAACATCTATGCACCCTTCAGCCAGGCTCACCGGCTGGCAGCATCCCTCATGTGCTTTTGCGGTGGACACGCTCTGCAGGTACGTGTATGCTCATGTGTAACCACACACACACACACACACATACACGCACATGAGGCCCTGCATACATGTTTCCTAAGGAGGTGAGTGTGTTCTCACATGGCTGTCATGCAGGTCTGGCTCAGGACATGAATCATACCACCCACCTCCCAGTTTTGTCAACTGGCCCAATTATGCCCCTTCCTCCCCTCAGGCAGTGCCTTTATTAGGCAGGCTGTTTTAGATTCCTTGAATCTGGGAAAGTTCTGTGGCCTTTGTCTTGTATGACACTGAAAATTTTGACAGATACAGTCCCTCCCCGCCTCGCCCCTTTAACACTTCCTCACTTGGGGTCTGCCAGATGCTCCCGTGACTAGGTTGAGGTGTTTGCCTTGCAGGGCATCCTACTGGGAGCGCAGAGTGCCCTCTCTCTCTCCATGTCTGTGTTCATCACCTCATTTCTAAGTTGCACTCATCTGGGTTTTATTGCAGAAGACAAAACGAGATGCTAGCAGTCATCTCCTGGTCACATTTTTTTGTTTTATTTTTATACAGAGTATTTATAATCAGATTTAGTTTATTGGCCCAATCTGAGCATTCTTTTTACACATTCAGTTATTTCTTTGTATGAACACTTACTGTCATAACAGATTTTTTTAAGCTTTATTTCTGTCATCTAATTTCTACTCTCTACTTTTTTTTTAATCATTTTTTTAAATTTATTTTCAGCATAACAGTATTCATTGTTTTTGTACCACACCCAGTGCTCCATGCAATCCGTGCCCTCTCCAATACCCACCACCTGGTTCCCCCAAGCTCCAACCTCCTGCCCCTTCAAAACCCTCGGGTTGTTTTTCAGAGTCCATAGTCTCTCATTGTTCACCTCCCCTTCCAATTTCCCCCAACTGCCTTCTCCTAACTCCCCATGTCCTCTATGCTATTTGTTATGCTCCACAAATCAGTGAAACCATATGATAATTGACTCTCTCTGCTTGACTTATTTCACTCAGCATAATCCTGGTCATATTTTAAAACAAATGGATGTCTGTGCTACCTGGGCTTACTATGAACCCAGTCGGGCCTTTAGGCCTAGTTTCCAGTTTATAGGCAGTATAAGGAACAGAGGAGCAGACTGAATGACACTATCAGATCCAGAATGTGGGGCGGCCTACAAGACAACTACCAGGTCTCTTCAAAGAGACAGACCTGAAGGGGCGAAACAGGTGTGCCAGGTTAAAAAGACTAAACACATCGAGGCAGGCTGGCCATATTTTCCAAAGACAGCCTCAACGGCCTCTTCCACCCCACATCCCCTTCTGCACAGTGACCTGGACACTCTCCACCCAGAGGAGGCTGTGTCCCTCCCTGTGCCTTGCGGCATCTGGGTGAGGGTGTTATGGAGTGATTTCTGAGGTCAGAAGCCTTGTCGCCTGCCATGTGGTCTTCCTGGTGCCCCCTTGTGACACTCCCTCCAGGAGCGGAGTCCCACAGAGAGAAGCCCGCACATGATTCCAGCCCTGGCCTCTGGGTCACCCCAGCTGTCCAGTCTTTCCAGCCCCCATGATGCAGAAGAGAGGAGGGCCATCTGTTCTGCACCCCGTCTGAAGCCCTGACCCACAGGTTCTGTGAGGGCGATCAGAAGCTGTTTTCTGCCACCAGAATGGCATTGATGGTTCAATGGATCATCCTTAATTGTATCCTAGTTCCAAAAAATTTACCATAGAAGATATTTTTGAATAATTAGGGAAATGTAAATATGGTTGGAATATTGGATGGTGTTAGATAATTACAATTAGATTTCTTAGGTGTTACAGTAATACGGTGGTTAGGTAGAAGTTGCCTTAGAAGCAGGGTCTCACTCTCTTCCTTTCAAATGGCTTGAAAACACACCCACACATACACACCGTACAGAGAGATACGAAGATGGGTATAAACAAAGAGCTAAAGTACTTATGGTATTGTTAACAACTGTCAAATTAAGGTTGTAGTATGGGGCTGATCAGTCAGTGTATATTATGTCAACTGTACTGTGTGTTTAACATTTTTTATTCTAAAAAGCTGAGGGAAGAAAACAAATGGATACCTAGAATCCATTTACAAGTTTGTCCTAGAAATAGGCTCAAAAGGGGACGGGAGGCCCAGGAAAGCCCCAGATGGGTCCTTTCATAGGAAGTTGGTCACAGGCAAATACAGCTGAATTTTTCATCTTAACTCAACCCAGGAATTACCCTCCTGATAGACAAGGCCTAAGCAAGGCTACCACACCCTCACCATGGACACAGACACCCAGAGCTGGGATCCCAGACAAGCCATCTGCTCATCAGTGGTCTGACACAGCAGAACCACTCAGACCAAAGCAGAACCACTCAGTGACCACAGGCAGAGGGCAGAGGGCAGAGGCAGCACTGGGAGAGAAGAGCCTTGGGACTGACCTCAGGGACGGCACAGATTCAAGAAGCCACACTTGGCAACTACCCCACACCCCCACCCCGAGAACTAACGAGTAAGTTCAGCAAGGTGGCAGGACTTGCTAACCCACTGTATTTCTATGTCCTGACAGTGAATACACAGAAACCTAAATTAAAAACACAATACTAGTTCTGGTCTCTGGACTGATGTGAAAAGAGCTCCATCTCCCCAATAAGAAAAAGGCTGCGTAAACTGAAATCAACAACTCCTCTTCGAAATCTTAGAGAATTGTTATCATAGGGCAAACCAACGCCCTGAAAACTGGAGAGACAGGCTAAGGGTTCCCAGCTTACCAGGAGCAGAGGTTGGAACCTGAAACAGGAAGGGAAGTGGGTGCTGTAAGGACGAACGCTAGAGGCTGTGCCTAGCAGGCTTGAGAGTAAAAAAGTCACGGTCTCAGGGGAACCCCCACCTTTCCTGAGATGTACCAGGTTCTTTCCCTTAACATCAGAGAAAATCCTCTCAGGCTTCTAGCAAGTAGGGGTAAAGTAATTGCTATGGACTGAACTATGCCCCTCCAAATTCCTATGCTAAAGCCCTCAACTCCCAATGTGACTGGAGATGAGGCTTTCAGGAGGTAATTAAGGTGAAATGAGCTTATATGGGTAGGGTCCTAATCTGACAGGACTATGACCTTTTAAGAAGTAGAACACTGTCTCTCTCCCTCTGTGTGGCCCTGTGGAGGAAGGGCCATGTGAGGACAAAGAAGGCTGGAGGTCTTCTAGAGGTCTGGAAGTCAGGAAGGTCAGGAAGGTCTGGAGGTCAGGAAAAGGGCTCTCACCAGGAACCAAGGCAGCTAGTATCTCATCCTGGACTCTGGCCTCCAGAACTATAAGACAATAAATTCCCAGGAAGTCCCTCAGCCTATGGCACTTTGTTACGGCAGCTGAAGCCATTCTAAAGGACACTCAGAGGGTTCTGTTCCCTTCAAGAGAAATAACTACCGGAGCTTAAACAGCCACAAACCCTCCAGCCTTTCTATCTTAGCACACACCACCAATCAGAGTGGCTAAAATAAGAGTGACACCGCCAAATGCTGGCCAAGGATGTGAGGAAACTGGATCAAGCATAGATTGCTGGTGGGAATGTAAACGGTTACTGTCACTCTGGATAACAGTCAGGCAGTTTCTTACAGAACTAAACGTGTAACTACCATAAATTCAGTACTTGCACTC